TGGAAACGAAAGTAGTCGGTGGTCGGGCGGCACTGTGTGAGGCACTGTGTGAAGAGTAACCGAGAGGGGGAGGTGGAGAGGGAAGAGGGAGGTGAGGGGAGGGGGGGATGAAATTAAGGCTCGCCGGTTGATTCGAATTCTCCTTGAGAAATTTCCTTTCCCCGAGAACGCCCTTCGTGCGCTCTCTAGTAGTTACTAAACTGGTCGTCTCAATTAGCGAAACTTGCAGCTACGTTACCGACTTCCAATTAGTCATAGGTTGCAAACTGTATCGCGCTTACTGGAGCGAGACTAATAACTTCTAGACCATGAAATATATGCATAGATACACGATGCAAATTAGTGGTGCGCGGCCGTGCGGACATTTATGAAATATACCCGTAAGAAAAATTTCGGCCCACTCTCTCTCGCTCGTCGAGTGTCAAGTCTCTCAATTATAAATCTACGTATATATATATATATATGTATGTATATTCGTATATATTCTTCCGTCTTCTTCCTCGTCTCTCCCTTCCTTTTCCTCTTCCACTTTTCAGAGATTCGCGCCGCGCGATTTTTTTTTTTTTTTTTTTTTTTTTTTGAAAGTTCAACGTTCCAAGACGCGAAGAACGACAAGAAACGAACGAAAACAAGAAAGGGACGTGCGCTTTCTCGGGATCGGGCGCAGTTCCCGTGTCGGCGAGGGTGTGCGCGCGCGACCGGCACACGGGCACACGTATATTCACCGACTACCGTCGATCCTCGGCGAATTTACGAAGGCCCTTGTCGCGCGGCTGATAGTTACAGGCCTGGTCTCAATTAGTAGAACTTACGTCGCTAGGGTCCAATTAGACGTAGGCTAGAAGCTACACCCTGTTTGCTCAAGTTTGCCGTACCTATGCACCACCGTCCGTCGGATGGGGTTGCTGCCCGTCCTGTACCTACCAACCCTGTTCAAGGTGTCTTTTTCCTACGCTAATGACTAATTAGCAGCCTCTCCACTTCACAGTATAATGACACGGGATACAGCCTTGAGCCGCGTCGGCTGGGATCATTATTAAACCCCGAAATTGCAGCCGTGCCTGCCGCCTCGTGTTATGCACCACCTCGTGCCCTCTACTTTGCCCTATCCTGCGCTCTATTCCCAACGCGTACCCGAGACCCGAGACCGGCCGCGCTCTCGCTACCCGCTCGATCCACGGCTCGAAGGACACGCGGCAAGATGCGGAACGTGACTCGACGAGGATGAGGGTGCGTTCTGATTTTTTCCCCCTCCCTCTTATACGCCCAATTTTTTTTCCTCTTTATCCCTCCCCTCCCCTCCTCTTTCGTCCCCTCGTTTCTTTCCTCTCCTTCGTCTCTTCTCCTCGCTTCTCTCTCTTTCTCCTTTTTCTCTCTCTCTCTCTCTCTCTCTCGTCCAAGTTCGACCTCGGTTAAATCGTGACCGAGTTATTTTCATATTTGATCGGCTCGTTTCGCGCAGCCACGAAATATCGAGTTTCACGGGCGGATAAGAGATACGTGTGAGATTACTTGTCTAATTGCTTCGACGCTAGATGCAATTAAACAGGGTTCCCCGGTGAGCACGGGAATCCGGACAAGTACGCAGAGGATATTCTTAATTGCGTATCAATATTGCAGCGGATCCGTAATACGAAACGGGAGTGGCGGTGGTGGTGGTATATACGAGGAGATCGAGTGACTCAAACGGGGTCGTTGAATTCTCGTTTTCGTTTTCCAAAGTAATTTCATTCGTAACGCATAATTTAATTCTGCCCTATAGATCCAACCCCTGATATTATACCGTTGGCCATTTTAGAGGTGGGGGGAGGGGAGAAAGGGGGAATCTGGATAAGAACGGGGTTATTTTAAGTCACGTATCGATATCGAGGTAACCTGTAACGAAAAAACGAGAGAGGAATAATACGCGATCAGGTGGCGCACAAATGGGATCGTTGAATTTTATTATAGTTTTTAAACTAATTTCATTCGCAACGCATATTCTAAACCATCCGACAGGCCAATTTCCACCCGCATCGAGATATTATACGACAGCCTGCCTATTCTCTCGCTTATTATTACACAACGGACGAATTCGTCTCCCTCTCCCCGCGTCGAAACGCTACGCTTCTTCCTTCCTTCCTTCCTTCCTTCCTTCCTTCCTTCCTTCCTTCCTTTCTTCCTTTCTTCCTCCCTTTCTCCCTCTTTCTTTTACATTTATTTATTTCCTAAAACGTCCGTCCCCCGGCCGGCCACTTTATATTTGACATTTTTATTAAACCAGCCCCCGTGTGTCCGTAGCGACAGCGTATCCCGGGGATGGCAGCGGGGCCGCGCACGATATCCATCCCATATTGCCGTTAGGGCAGTTTCGTAATCTTCGCAAGGGTACCCTTCCTTATATTGACCGAATAAAAACTCGTATCCGCCGCCTATTCGTCGATGCGCCCACACCCCCCTCGACTCGCCCCATTTCGCTCGGAACCACGAAAGACAGTCGGCGCGGAAGTGATGGCGGGGTCCCTGTATCGGGTCCGGGACCACCCGGTCACGTCCATGCGCGTACACCCCCTTCATAAATCAACTTTTCACTTTACGATTCCGTCAACCGGTCGGAAGAAGGCGGTTTCCACGCGACCGGTCCTTTTTTTCGCGCGAGAACGATTTTACGCGGGTACGGAGACCCCCCGCGGAGATTTCACTCCCTCCTCTCCTCCCTCCTTTCCCAACCGTGATACATCGCGCATGCGTCGAGATCGATCGCGCAGCTCGAGTCGATTACCGATACACGCGCATCGTCGCCAGATATAGAATAGGCAAATTGACGGGCGCGATCGAATTTTATCAACCGCTTCGTACTTCTCGCCGCTAACGTCTGCGAATGGAATACCGGCGCGATGGAATTTGATACTGCGCCCGGCTGGCAAATAACTGTACACCCGTGAAAAGATCGGTTACCTGCTTCCGCTTAAGAAGCGGATTTCTCCCCTCTAGGGGAATTCGCACGTGCGCGCGCGTCGCGTTTCGCACCCCTCGCGATCTCTTCCGAATGATCGGTGGCAGATCGGATGGTATTGGATTCGCGATCGCGACTCGTAGGCACGTGAAAATTTTCATCCTCCCTTTCCGTTGGAATTTCGCTCGTGGTGGAGACCTCTCTTTCTTCTTCCCGCCCGCGTGTTCTCGTCCGCGTGGGCATCATCCGACGATCGACGTGTATCAATCGAATTACCAGAAATTACGTTACCGATGAAACGTAGGAAGAATGGAAAGGAGAGAGAGAGAGAGAGAGAGAGAGAAAGAGGGGGGTAAGGAGCGGTTGGAAGCGGACACGGAGAGGAGGAGGAGGAAAAAGAGAGAAGAGAGGAAGAAGGAAAAAAGAGAGAGGAATAAATCCGGAGAAAAAATGGAGCGCACAGATCGTTTGACGAATCACGAGACGCCTCTTGGATACGCGGATAGGTGGGGCACGCTAAGAGGGGGGCCAAGGGGATACGCGGTAGAGGGATGATGTTTTTTTCCTCCGCGGCGCCTCTTTAATTTGCCCTCCAATTAACGGACGGGGTCCTATTTGAAAAATACCTGCCACGAGGGCTGGCAATTATACTCCTTCCTTTTTTTTTTTTTTTTTTTTTTTGCGCCACGAGCGCGTTATTAGCGCTATCCGTCGTTCCTCTTGCTCCTCCTTCTCCCTCATCTCCCACACTCCTTTCCTCCACCTCGACCACCTCTCTCTCTCTCTCTCCCTCTTTCCTCATCGTCATCCCACCAAACTCTCTCCTCCTCCTCCTCCTCCTCCTCCTCCACCTCTTGCTGCCGCCTCGTCGAGCTGTTCCTCTTCGTTCCCACCATCCTCCGCTCGTCCACGTCCCACCCGCGCTCTGTGTCACCCTCGCTTTTTACATGCGTGTGGCCGCGTTCGCGTATCCATATCTGCGTCTGGTTGTATGGGTTTTGTGCGAGTGTGATGGTTGTGGTGGTGATGGTGGTGGTGGTAGTGGTGGTGGTGGTCCAAGGGGGAGGACACGCGGGGTATAAAGGGGAGAGAGGGGTGGAGGGAAAGAGAGGGACAGAGAGGAACGGTTGGGAAGAGGGAAACGAGAAATAGAGAAGGTGGGAGGGGGTGGAGAAGGAGGTGGAGAAGGTTGAGGGAGGGATGGAGTCGGGATGCTGGCGAGTTAGAGGAGTGGCGTTTATAACTCGTGCCCGGGTCTCCAAGCTTTGAGAAGGCCAATTAGCAGCATAAAGCTACAGCTCGGCCCCGGGGCCGAGGATGTTTGTATGTAATAATGGATTGTTACTCAAAGTATCCGGCTAATTAATTAAGCCCCCGCGCCTCGCCGTGCAGCCACTCACCATTTTAGCCGGCCGTCCTCCTTCCCTCGGATCGCCTTTAGAACGCGTTCGTTCCTGCGAATGTGGTTATTCCTCTCTCTCTCTCTCTCTCTGTTTCTCTCCGCGTCGCTTTTCAACCCCTCGTCGGGCCACATCGGTTCGAACGGTTCCTCGCGATCGATGAACCCGCCGCCTCCCGCTGTCCCCCCTGTAGATCTTCGAAACGCGGTCATCGGATACTCGAGCCTAACTCGAACCGCGTTCTCGTTCATCGAGATCCACGGATCAAGATCGAACCTCTCCTCTCGATAACTTCGAATTTTGGAAAACAATTTCTTTTTCATTCGTTCGCGTGGAAAACGCGATTTCGATCGAATCGTTTTCGAACGTCTCGAAGGATTTGGATTTAGCTTGGGTGGTGGACATCGGGTCAAAATCGATCCATCGAAAAAACCCCGAGAGAGATTTGACTCTCGCGGCGGCGACGACCGAGGACCGTTTCCAATTAGCGTGGATCGTTATTGCGTGTTGTCGGCCACTTAGCAGACGCTTATTATCACGACGTACGTGTACATTACGCGTGGTGGCTGTCTGCGCGGGGCATTGTTACGGAGGCACAATGGTAGGGAGACACGATTCACGATGTCGCGGATTTAACGAGTCGCCGTTCTTGTTCCTTGTTGCAGACGGCGTTCTAGCCGAAATCACGATGACGATGGACGTGAGCAAGTCGGAGCCGAGTAAAAATGGCGCGACGCAGCACGAGTGCGCTGGTTGTGGGAAACCGATCACGGAAAGGTGAGAGATACCGATCGCGTTATTTTTATTCGAAAACAGGAAAAAAAAAGGAAAAAAAAAAAAAGAAAGAAAGAACCGATTGTTGTGACGTATAACCATAATTGTTCGTTTTAAACGAGAAGAGAAAAAAAAAAAAAAAAGAAGAAAAAGTTCAAAAATCGAAAGTTAATCGAAAGATAAACTTCTTCCGGAAATCCGGTGGAAGATGAAGCTGGAGAGAATGATAGGCTACTGGTCGGTAAGAAGGAAAACTATGGTCGGTTCTTCAGGTATCTCCTCAAGGCCATGGACCTGTTCTGGCACGAGGACTGTCTCAAGTGCGGGTGCTGCGACTGTAGGTTAGGAGAGGTCGGTTCTAGTCTGTTCACCAGGGCCAACCTTATCCTCTGTAAGAGGGACTACCTCAGGCTGTTCGGGAATCCGGGACATTGCGCGGCTTGCAACAAGCAGATACCGCCGTTCGAGATGGTTATGAAGGCCAGGACGAACGTCTATCACCTTGATTGTTTCGCCTGCCAACAGTGCACTCATCGGTAAGTTAACCAATCGAATCGAATCCTTCATCCGTAATACTCCCTTCATCATCCCCTCCTTCGATCTTTCGATCTTCAATTTTTCTTTTTCTATTCTTCTTCTTCTTTTTTTTTTCCCCCTCCCCCCTTTATCCTCACGCGAACGTTTCCACGTACATTTCTCCTCGTCGAGATGAACGACGATGCGAGAACGGAGAAAAAGGGAGGACGGAGCGACGCATGCAAAAGTAACAAAGACGGTGGAGCGGGCGGTTGGGGGCGGTTGGATACGGAGAAATACGGAGGGGACGGAAAGAAAGAAGTACCGGGAGTACCGGTTTGCTAGAAACACAGTCCGCTCGGGAGTTGCTTTACAGGTCAGCTGGGAAATCACCCTGCGCTCTATCCGTCGCGACCTCTTCCTCCGCTCGCGCCAGCGTTCCACGCAGGAGGAGGCCAACTTCTCTCGTCGCCACGTCCATCTCCCGCCTCCGACCCCTGAGACCAGTTATGTAATTATCCGGATACTGCTGACATTTTTGTATCATATTGCTCCGAGTGGAGGACGGAGTCCCCTTGAATGCAACTTTTCGGACGAATCGGGACGAATGTAAAATTCGGTCTTTAGCGTCTTCTATCGAGCCAGACTTTTATCTCGAACGAGATCGAATCGTTTCGTTCGAATAGTTCTCCTCTCGCGATTACCACCTACCCCTCCTCCTCCTCCTCCTCCTCCTTCTCCGTTTCCATCGCGTCCTCTCTCGCGCTCGCGTTTTATTAAAGTTCCGCAATTTGGCTCAAAGCGATCTTTCCTTCCCCTCCCCTCCTCTCTTTCTCCCTACTCCGTTGATCATCCGCCTCTACCTAACATCTGACGCGTAAATTACAACGGACAGAGCGGCGAGTAATTTGCCGGGATGCGAAATTTTATTGCCGCCGGTAACGAGGCCCGAGTAATTTCGCGACTTTATCCTGGCCGCGATCCCGACGTCGGATGCCTTCGACGTCGGCCAACGGCGAGGGAATTACACCGGGGAGGGGGGCAAAGGATCGGTGGATACAGTTGAGCGGAGAATCACGGTCCGTGAACCGCGCGACAACGACGAGCGGCAAGAAATCGCGAGAGAGATGGGGTGGAGAGGGGGTGGCGGAGAGAATAAGGTTTCGATGGAAGAGCGGCGGTCAATGTAAAACGGTGAAACTATGGAAGCGTGGCGGGACACAATGCCGGCTTATTGACGAAACGAAAGGTTTCGAGGGGGTAGGAAAAGCGAGCGGGGTTGTTCTCTGGTGGCACGTAAGGGGGCGCGAAAGAGAGAGAGAACGGCGAGCGCGGTGATGGACGATGAGAGGTCGAGAGAGGAAGAGAGAAAGAGAGAGAGAGAGAGAGAGTGGAGCGCAGAGAGGAGAAGGGGAGAAGGCGAAACGGAACAGGAGAATGTAGTTTGGAGCCAATAACAGTGGCTCGTCCAGGCGTGCGACAAACGTTGTACAGCTTCTCAAACAATGCGAACAAAAGAGCATCAATTTTACGTTTTTATCGCGCTGTATTGTCTGTCTTCGACAATAGGCCGAGCGGGCAGCGACGGAGCCGCCATCCCCAAAGCGGTGTCGCTCGCTCGCGGGGTACAACCGACTTCAACGAAATCAACGAAACCTGCTTTTGTCCCCGTGATTCACCCCGCGCGGAGTGCAGAGTGCGCGATGTTCTTGCGGTTCGGTGTGCAAGCTTTCCCGATACGAATAGCTTCCGCCATTGCCCGTTTCGGGGAACGATTCGTTCCCGAAACGCGGGGCGAACGCGTTTTCACGGTGGATAACCGGCAACCTAATTTCTATTATCGGTTCGCAATACAGTAGCTTTGATCGGTCTCGTATCTCGTATCACGTAGCCCGTATCGAAAAAGGGTATTCGCGATGATGGAGTGGAACGCGCGCGTTATACTCGTGCTATTCCTTCTACGGATAAATTTAGCGAGAGTAATGACGACGAGTTTGAGGGGAATTGGAAAAAGGAGCTTAGCTAGGGAAAAATGATTTTAAAAAAAAAACTCCTATTAGAGTAATAGCAAAAATTTTCTCTCGTTTACTCTACCCCCTTCTTGCACACGATTTTAAAAGACTTAAAAAAAAATTGCCCTCTATGTTGCCAGCTGCAAGACCTGCAAACTGTCTTTCACTTTAACCAAACGAAATTGCCGACGATTAGATTTCATTGGTAATTTAGCGTACCGCCAATCCCGCCAATTATTCCCGTTTGATCGAAGCCCCGAACGTTCCGTGGCCCGTGGATCGAAACGATTCCGCCCGTTCTCGGTCGGATTTAGATATTTCCCGTGGCAGGGGTGAACGAGAGAAAGAGAGCGAGCTAGAGAGAGGAGAGATAGAGAGAGAAGGAGGATCGTTTCCAATTATTTCGTCGGTAAAAAACGAGCGGGTGAACTCGAGGAGGGCAATTATACGCGGGGCGCCGCGACGTGTAACGCGACGACTTAGAGTTTGCAATTAAACAGCAACAATTACACGGGGTAACTTTAGACTGTAATAACACAGAATAAAGGGTTGCCGGTGGCGGTGCCTAGCCTACCACCCTCCTGGTTAGAGGATGATTTACCGATCCAATTAGATATCTCTCTCTCTCGCTCGCTCGCTCCTTCTCTACACTCTCCCCCCTCTCTCTCTCTCTCTCTGACTCTGGTCTACCAACACGATCCCTTCGAACTGTGTAGGGATATAGGTTGCCGTACACACACACACACACATACACGCGCGCGCGAATACGCGGGAATACGCGTCCCCTCGACGTTTCTTCGATCCTCTCTTGAGAAGACGTCCGGTCAAATTTAACGAGCGCCCAGTTAATGCCCTCGCCGGCTACAAATTGCAGTTTGCCGTCCCGCCGTCGCTAATTCGCCCGAATTCCTCGCGAGGAATCGTGGCGTGTTCATGAAACATCCTCGCGCGAGATCTCGGGTCCCCGGGTTCAATTTCGAGGGGGAAGAGAGGGGGGGGGGAAATTGAAATCAACGATTTCTTCCATCTTCGCGCCCCATCCCCTCTTTCTCCCTTCTTTGGGAATTCACACTTTCGCTTCTTTAAAGCGATAATGTCTTCGGCTGCGGAGCGGGCACATCCGATCGATCGTTAACAGTTCGTTAAATTACTGTTATAATAAGGGAGATAAGGAGCGAAAATTGACTTAACGCGTGTTTATAACCGGCTGGGGAGAAAACCTGTTCCAAAACGCGCGCACACGTACACACGCGTACGCGCGTACACTAATAATCGCGTTGCATACGATTATTACCTAGGTTGGACGTGAAATCGGCATCGGTATTATCGGTCCCGTGATTCGCGACCAGTCACCAGTCGCCAGTAAAATTTATTATCTCTTCGATGCTACGTGTATCCGTTTAACGTCCCCTATCCTTGTTTAAAAAAAAAAAAAAAGAAGAGAAAAAAAATAGCAATAACAACAACAACAACAATAATAATAATAATAATAATAATAAAGGAAAGAGAAGAATCTAAAAACCTGCACTTATACCACGAGCAAGCCATTAATCACGGATGGCGCGGTTGTTCGAGCCGATACGGTTAATTTGCCTGGCAACGCCTTCCAGCTGGACGAGAGAGCGGCTTAATCCTCTTTCCTGTGCAAGAGGAAACTCGTCCCGTCGCGGCAGAGGCGCAAATTAAACCGGTAACGGGAGGGGTACAGGGATCCCTGGACGCGATCGCGACGAGGCGCGTATGCAAATTTTATTCAAGAAACCTGTATATGTGTGTGTGTGTGTGTATGTCTCCCTTCAAAGAAAAAGATTCGCAGAGGAGGAGAGCGAAACGGTGAATGTTTTATATTTCTCTCTTTTTCATTCTCTCTCTCTCTCTCTCTCTTTGGCTGGTCTCGACGGTTGCAAGTACACGTTGCAACTGCATCGAACACGTAAAGCGAGTCTAATGGGGTCACGCATTGGCACCGGTTACTTTATTTATTTACAAAAGTACCGGCTTCCGGTGGCACGGAGCCGGTCCGTTTTTCCAACGGGAGCCGGACGTGTCCGATTTTTCTTGAATTCTCGTGTTTCGTATCCAGGATCCTTCCCAGCCGCGACCCTCGTTAAACATTCACTCGTGCCGATCTTAGAGACCTCTTCTCCTCCTCTCCACGATTGAAATTTTCCACGTGGATCGTGCAACGTTGGACCTCGGCTCGGACCCATCCCTTTTTCCGCCTTTCGTTCCCGTATACCTTACGGTATTAATATTTTAAATGTCTCGTTGCGGTTCGCCATTGGCGATTTCTAGGTCTACGATGTTTGCGCGGCTTACGCTTTACTTTATTTCTGTATCAAAGACCGTTTGAAAAAGGAAGCTTTTGAAAATTCTGGTGGATCGAAGGTGTTCAATAGTGTAGCGTGTTATATATCGGGAAATGAGAGAAGGAAGGAGAGAGAGAGAGAGAGAGAGAGAGAGAGAGAGAGAGGGATATTTGTTTGTTCCGATCTGATTTGTCCCGTTTGCGCGATATTTTCGTCCAATCTTTCCGATTACATTTTACGATCGCCTCGAGTGTATCAGAATTTAATATTTTGAAATAGCTAATGAAACCAATCTGCCTTTTATTATTTCTCTTTTTCTCCGAAATTCGATTTGCCGTTTGTTCTCTCGTTAAAGAGAGAGAGAGAGAAAGAGAGAGATTTTCGAGCGTAATGGCAACGAACAATTAACCGGGGTGGGATTAAATTGTAGGCGATAGAGCTTGTTCAAAACGCTAGATGAAAGTGGAAAACCGGCGGGTATCGCGCGCGGATGGTATTGTGCCGTGACAGACAGCTGCATCGGTAGCGAGAATTAGAGGAATGGGATTCGCGCGGCATTATTCGCGCGATCATAATAGAGACTCTGAAACGAGTGCACTCGTGCAACAGTATAATTCCGCCGGCTCGTAGTTATGCGAATATCTACTTCGATCCAGGCTTACGACGAACAACAACGGTCGAAAGAATGTGACGCGAATGTGTTGCTTGCTTATAAATAAAAAAAAAAAAAAAAAAAGAGTTGGGAAAGAATTCTTAATATCGCGAAACGGTATTCACACCGTGGAAAACGCTTTAATACGACACGTGGCGACCCATAAAGATAAAATCGTGTTACTTCGTAACGTGTATTAACGTGTCCCGTTATAACGAAGTTTCCTTCGCGTTTGAATAGATTTTGATTTTCGATAGAGGTTGAGAAATATTCCCTTCTCGGTGAGTAGAATCGCGAATTAAACGTTAAAAATTATTATTAGGAACAAAGGAAGATATTGAACAAAAATGTGATTTAATTTTTTATTTCGCCCGATCGTAACTTCGATTCGTTCGCAAATAATTAACATCTTCGATAATCGACTCGAAACACGAACATTTCGAAATCTATAAATACTTCTTACCAACAAACAATTCGACAAACAATTAAAAAAAAAAAAATAAATAAAAAGAAAGAAAGAAAGAAAGAAAAAAGAAAAAAAATGGAAAAGAAAGGAATTCGTGGAAAGAAATCCGCGAAGAGCGAAGAGGTGAAACGAGGTGAATAGCCAAGCACGGTTAGGTGGCAGGCAATTGACAAGGAGGAGAGAGGTACACCTTGAAAGCAGGAGGAGGCTAGTCGCGGGCAGAAAGCAGCGAGCAGGTGACGGTCAGCTGAATAGGGGATAGAGAAACGCGACGCGGAGGTGTATAGAAGTGGCAGAAGGGGTGTGGAGGATAGAAAGAGAGGGAGATAGAGAGAGAGCAGGAGGTGGATCAGAGTACAGCGTCATTTAGCAGACGACGCGTATAATAGGGGAAACGAGCGAAACCCGGTATAAGCTGTGCTCGTCGGGAATGGCCGCGCGCAACGCGATAATTCTATTTGCCGTACGATTATGAGAGTATCTACCTCGAACCAGACTCTGCCGCTCTCGTATTTCGCTCTCGTATTTCCTACCGGGATCAAAGCGGATGTGAGACCGCTCGCGGACAGAAGCCCGATAATAATTATTTGTCCGACACGTTGCGATACGCTCGTTATCCACCGCTTCGTCCCCGTGCCACCCTTTGTCATTGTTTCTCCTTTTTTTTTTGTCCCCTCCCGAGTTTTTATTTTTATATTTTTTTTCTTTTTTTGCGTTCGCTTTTTTCCCGTCCTTTTTTTTCGTACGCTTTTTTTCGCTTCCCCCCCCCTCTCTCTCTCTCTCTCTCTCTCTCGTTGCGACAATCAACCGATTATCGACGAGCCTCCGTGTGACTCCCACGCGTGGTGGCTCGCGAATGAAAGAATCGGTGCGCGCTTTTTTTTTCTTTTTTTTTTTTTTTTTTTTTTTTNGGTTTCGATTCGAATTCCCCTCCCCCACCCCCCCCCGCTTTTTTCTCGATATGCTAAAAATAATGCGCGGTTTAGCTGTCGCGGTGTTTCTTTTAATCGCGTCGAAATTAATTGGTGGGTATCGTCAAAGAGATCAAAGGGAAGGATCGAGAAATTTGAATAGGGGCAATATTCGTTGGATATATTTCGTGGTGTTGAAATGAGAGAAAGGAAATGGAAAAAAGAAAAAAAAAAAAGAAATCGCATCGCGAGACCTGAGTCAAGGGTCTCATTAATAAAGATATCCAACGAGTCATATCGATGTGTGCATTCGTCAAAGAAAAAAAAAAAAAAAAAAAAAAGAAAAAGTCAATTTCAAACGTCTATAAACACGATCGCGAAATTGGAGAATGGATCGAAGCAACGAGATCTTCGACAAAATTTCTCTTGTCTTGCGAAAGAACGAATATCGCGAGCTAAATTTCCGAAAGTATTCGTCGAAAGGCGAGCTGTAATGGCCGAACCAGTCCGGTCGTTCCCTCTCAACTGGATTCTCGCGGTTCTCGAACGTAACAGGTGAGGATATCGCGGTGAGATCTCGATCGATCTCGACTGCTCGACGCTGCCCTGATTTCGAGGTGGCAGACAGTCGATGAGAGGAACAGGCGTATATCCTCGACCGGTTTGGAACGGCCCTTCCACCTGGCAACTCTTTCGTTTTGATTTCAGGTTTTGCGTGGGCGATCGATTCTATCTGTGCGAGAACAAAATCCTATGCGAGTTCGACTACGAGGAGAGGCTCGCGTTCGCCAATATGTCAGTACAAACACCGGCCACGCTGGCGTACATCAAAAGGCAACTGCCCCCAGCGCCGACACCGCCTGGCCAGAACATGCATCCGGGTCACAATCCGCTGCAACCTCATCAGGGACTCGGCCAGTCGGTGGGTCAACACAATCACGTGTCCAACGTAAGTTAAGAGGGGATCCTAAAATCGTTTGAGCCGCGCTCGTTTCGATCACTTGGGATCAACATCCCGACTTTTGCTCCCCACTTTTACTTAACCCTCCTCTATATATTATCGAACACCGATGGAACGGAACGGAAAAAACGCGATTTCGAATTCCATTCCAATGGAACTCGCATCATTAGGGAACTTTTAATCCTATTAATCCTTTCGAATTTTCTTTCGAACGAACGTAAAGGAGAGAGATTCTAGGTTGGTTTTTTTTTAATGGGCGCAGGGACAAATGTCGGGGAGCACACCGATGGTGAACGGGACGGCCATAGGCGTGGGCGGCCCAAGAGCTCCAGGGGACATGAACAACAACGGTTTGTCGGGTCCTGCCCTCGGCCCGGTCAAGCCACCGCCAATGTCTATGCAGGCGCCGACCAGCTGAAACGAGGTGTCACCCCCCTTGAAGAAGCTCAGATGTCTCAGCGGTTATTGAGGCTGTTCACGCTGCTGACCCAACAGACGTAACGGCGCACGGACACAGCGGTACGAAGAGAGAAAATTAAAACGCGAAAGTGAACGAAGGGAACGAAGTATCGGAGTGACAGACGGACACGGATGGACGCGTAACGCGTGGATCGGTGAGGAAAGATGATGGGTGGGGAGGGAGGGGGGGATGGTTGAAAATTCACACGAACACGGAGAAGGGGACTCTTCCGGTTCTCCCGAGACTCTCGTTCAGAGGTTGGGGAATAATCACTGTGATCGCGAATTATATAATGAATAAATTTAATCGGAAAGGATACGATAGAACCGCATAGGGAAGGGGGGGGGGGAGAGGCGTGCGAGCGTCGCGCGAGCTAAACGGAGATCAACGTTTAATTACGCACGTCTTGTAATATACGGTTACGCAACATGTGAAACACAATGATAAAAATAGGCGATTTATGTAAGATACGTTTCTAGCGAGGAATCTGACGAATGATTAGGATCGCGAGTAAGTGTGTAAGAGCGAAAGGGCGAGTGGGTGAAGAGCGAATGAGGCAGAGTTATCTGTAAATATCTTGTATCTGTCGACTCTGCAACGACACCGAAAGACTATCAGTATACGCAGACCAATCGACGAATTTCCACGGTTCGCTCGCGATTCGTCGGCATTCGAGATTAACTCTTGGCCGAGTCTTGGAAAGGAATTGTGGCAAGTTACCGTTATTTCAATCTTATCGTCCGCTCCGTGCCTCGACTCGACGTGCACCAACGAATGATGTCGTTCGATTCTTCGCTCGAAGATCGCGAGAGACGGGGAAGATGCTTTTTTCTTCCCCGAGAAGAATTTCGAAACGATTTCGAATGCGAGACGAATCTCGAGACGTTTCGCGAGGAATCTCGGTATACGAGGCGCGAGCAAAGGCGGATACACGATGGCTGATACCAAAGATTAACGATGTAAGTTTCGATGCCCCTCGTATCGAGCGAGTCGACCACGTCTCGGATCTCCAATTATATTCCTCGCTCGATGATGATCGAGCGTAACGCGTTCGCTCACGGAGCGAGCGGCTCTTTTCGCGGACGACGCGGCGTCTTTGGCCGCCCTCCGTGTTTCCGATCGAGCACTCGCGAGGCGAGGGGCTTAGTCGTGGCTTTACGCTTTAACGCCAAAAGATGGAGGAGAACGGGGAACGAAAATCCAGGTGGAAGTAGAAGAAGAGAGGCCAAGACCGAGGACAAGAGCGACGAAAGGGAAACGAAAGGTAAAACGTGGCGACATCGATACCAAAAGACGGTTGAGAATCCGATAATCGTTGCGTGCGCTGATAAACGATCCGTTCCGAATTCGCAGGCGACGAGATCTGCGAATCGCAGGGAAGAAGAAACCGTGCCGGTTTCGTGGAGAGTTTGCCTAATCGCGATCCCAAACGCGATGGATAAATTTTTGTTTCATCTTTCCTTCCCCCTTTCTCCGTCGATCAGGAGGAGGAGGAGGAGGAGGAGGAGGCGTTGTCGCTCGGTCAGGCAGTCTCTCCCACGAATCGCGGCCGAGCGAGCGCGACCCAAATTGTCGCGGTGACAATTCCACACACAAGATATCACAACAATATTCGAAACCACCGAATCGATTAAGTACAAAAGAGGAGTTTACGCGAAGAGGACGTGTCGCGAAGCAGTAACGGTAACGGCTTGTGCTTGTGGAGGGAAAGTGAGCATATACTATGTGAATGAAAGGAGAGAATTATTACGAGCGATTCGCGCTTCGAAACCGCGCGACAGAGCCGAAACGCACTTTCCTCTCGTTTTTTTATCCATCTGTATATAAATATCATTTATTAGCGCACTTATTAATATATTTACCGCCTCTATAGGGGCTCCTATTACTACCGAGAAAATATAACATTCTTATAAATACAATGACCGAGTGAGTTTCAACCGTGTCTTCATTTCGCCCATGCAAGGATCGGGCGTGTACGACCGAGTACCATACGCCGTCGTCTTTTATTCCTCTATTTATGGGCCTTTACCCCCATCCTCCTCCCACCCCACATCTTCTCTTCTCCACTCGGAGCGAAATCGCGACACGGATATAAAGACGGAGGGAGAGGGAGAGAAAGAGAGAGAGAGAGAGAGAGAGAGAGAGAGGGATTCAGTGATTTGTGCAGGGCGTATTGTCCGCGCGGTACAGGGAAATGGCTAGAAACCGAGCCGTGATACCGGTGGCGGGGACCGGGGAAAAGGGGTGAGGGAGAAACAGGCAAGGGGAGGCAACGCGATTTCCCTAATGCCTTCCAGCCCACGGAGTTGAATGTTATTATGCACGGTGAAGACTTTATAATAGGACGTTGAAACTCTTTAAAACTCGCGGAGAGCGGATCCTCTAACCCCCTTCGTTTCGTTGCCCTCGTCCCTCGAAAGGGCTCGTCACTTCTCCAACCCAATTTCTCCTCGTTACGCCCAAAAAGTCGAGAGCTTCGAGTTCCTCGAGTCGATCTATATATATATATATATATATTTATTTCGGTATAAGAAACGATTCCGTATATCAATTAAAAATCTAGTAGCAACGTTTCCCATCCCAACGTTCGTTCTATTAGATCTCGAAACAACGAGTCGATCGATCGACTGGTAAACGCTACTAGCTGAAGATGTAACGGGTCCCGATTCACTCTCCTCATCCCCTCCCCATCCAGCCGCATTAATCACGCCGAAACCGCGAATAGGTAGGTGGGAGGGGGCGGGGGAGACACGATGCGGTATCGGGTAGAGAGGGTAGGAAGAAAAACAGAACCCCTTAAAATAATCTGGGCTGAAATGAAATCAGCCAAGGCAATTTCCAGCCCCTGTACCCAACGGTGATGTTAACAGCGCCGCCGGTTTTATCCATCCACTCCTCCATGCCATCCCTGATTCGAGCGCGGTGCAACCGACAAATGACGACGCGGCAACCCCCTCGCGGCGGCCCACGGAATTAAAGATCCCGAGATAAGGGTGTCATCCTTCGCTATGCATTATGTGTTCGGCAAAAAGCTCGACCCCCCCGGGCCATCGCCTCTTCGCTCGCCCGTCTCTCCTTCTCGCCCGCTTTCGCGCTTCTTTCAACCCCCGATCCTCTCCCTGCCTCCTCTCAATTTCCTCTCCGCCCGTGCCTCTTCCTTTCTCTTACCACTTCGTTCACCCTCCTTCATCTCCTCATCCCCTTCCTCCTACAGACTACTCCTCTTCGTTGACTCTGTTTCACCCCGAAGAAGGTTCCAATTAATCTCCCTCGTACTTTTTCCACCCCCTTGGCCGCGCAGGATGCCACGCGTGGCGAAAGTATTCGCGTCGTGTATCGGATCGCTTTGTTCCGACACGAACACTCTGCACTTCTCTTCGTACGAACCACGTGTGTCCATGTGTTCAATGGCGAGGTAAACGGGTAAGTTGTCTTATATATATATATATATACTTATTAATATTATAATTGCACGATCGATAACCGATAACCTTCCTAATCCTGCCATCATATGTGATTCAAGGGAGCGCGTTGAAACTCGCGTGGGGATACGCGTGCATCGCCTGTGACGGCGATCAAAGTGTCACGTACGGTGGCGGGGTTAAAGGAGAAAGAGAGAGAGAGA